TGTTCACTTTAACAAAAAATTACGTTTTTACACTAAAAAGTCAATCATAAAACTATTTACTTTACCATTTATTTTGCTCTTATCGTTAAAATTTAAAATTTTCAAATTTTTTTCGTTAATTTCCCTAAAAGAATATGAGAAGCAAATCACTTAGTAGCTAACAGTAACAGCTATATCTGCAGGAGATATCAGAAAAGGGCAAGCAGGAAAATTTGGCAGTAAGTGGGATAAAAACAAAGAACAAAACAAATCAGCCAGCAACAAACCATAAGGAAGTGATTGCGGGTAAGATACTGTGACAGTGACAATGCAAAGCAAACATTAATGTTTGAAGGGCCCACCTGCAAAATTTGCAAAATCCAATTTCTTCTTTAGTTTCCATCTCAGGGTCCAGCTATTTTGACTATATGGTAGTAGCCTAGTAGAGTAGGGGTTGTAAACTGTAGAACAAAAGAATAAAAATTAATTTTATTAATAAATTAGATTTGCTAAAAGAAGTAATTCAGTAAAAATCACAGTAATCTGGTGAGCCACATTTAAGTATGAGAGGCTCCGAGAAGTGTGGGCCAAGATGAAGATGAGGAAATCAATAAGGCTCCATCTACTCTCTTAAATTTGAAAGTAATAATATTGCTACTGACATGTATATGTTCCATGCATGCTGCATAAATTGCAGCCAAGCATGTAGTGAATCTTGAACACCTAAGTTTGTACGTGCACTTTGCCAGTTCGAGTGGTTAATAACGTAGATTCTTACACCGATGTCATGTATTCAATTTTAGATTTTCTGCTTAGAAAAAGAAACAATAGTACATCTTATAGACTAAATGACTTCTTATAATTGTTAGATGTAAAGGCAAATGTTAATTAGGTTTGTTGGTTGGTAAATTATGAAATTTAACCTTCTGAACCCCATCAGCTAATCTTGGCCGCAATCCAATTGAGCGGTAAAAAGTATTTCCCCAGTTGGCTATACAATATGTCCACTCATTACATGCAAGTTAAAATATCCATACTTGTACTTTATGATACCACATTGTAAAAAATATATAGATTCAGAGCTTTATCATCGGTTTTAAGTTGGCATCTCTCAGTTGTAAGCTAATGAGGTCACATGAGGATTGGAACATAGAAATGCATGGCTGGTCCCAAATTGACAATCAAACAACTAGAAAGTTGAAACATACTAGATTGGACAGAGAGTACGTGGTCCAAACCAAAACCCAAAACCCGAAAACCAAAACCCTAACAAGTTCAGTGTTTTGAGGTTGAAGTTGGATAAAAATTAAAAATCTATGGTTTTGTAGGTCTCCTTGGGAGAAACAGGTGTCCTTGAGAGGGAGCAATGAGCATCGAGTATGGACTATATTTATCCCATTAAATCAATTATTAGCAGAAAATGGTTTGCCAGGGCTCCTTTCGTTTAGTCCCAGAAATATTGCCATTCTTATTAGACAATCACAGAACCTGAGATAGGTCACCATCCAATGAGCTGTAACCTGTAAACCTGCAGTTTATAATTTACAGAAGTTCTACAAAAATTTGGGGACCATTTTTACTTGTTTTTTTGAATATTTGTAGGATTACATGTTTATAGGACATTGCCCACATCTCAAACTACTTTGAGGATCTTTCTCTCAGGCCACCACCATGGATCTTGGATCTATATTTTATAAGATAAGTGTGCTCAATGATCTGAGCGTATTCCATTTGATGTTTTTATAGAGATTACAAGTAGTATTTGGATGAAGAACAAACTCTTCGAACCAAGGATAATTTACAGATAACACAAAAGATAAATAACCTATTTAAAATCAAAACACTTGCAACAGATAAGGTTTATCTCAGCCTTCCTGTTTACTGATTTGGTTGCGATATTCAGGGAATGTTGTGGCAGGAACCGTTGAATTCAAACTTGGTTTATCATATTTGTGTTTCCCAAATCTCAAATTGATTGAGAAAAGCTCAAGCATTGTATTAGGGTTATTATTATCATTGTTTTTTTTTTTCTTTTGGTGTTTCACATAATAGGGTTTCTCTACGTAAAGCATTGCAATTTACATGTTATGTAGACTTTCGCAAAATGCACATAACTATTTCATCGTGTGGTCGTGTTTGACAAATAAGATGTAGTCTTCTTTCGTTCAATGGACATGAATTCTATGTATAAAACCAAATAACCAATGTTATAGCAAAGATTGCTAAGAGTATGAATCCCACATTGGAAAAATAAAGAATTTTCTATATGCTTATAAGTAATTTGACTACTCTCTATATTACTAATTGATTTGATTTATGATCCAACCTCAACTTTAAATTTTGAAATATATTAGAGCAATTAAGATTGGCAGTGATAAAGCTTCCATATCAGTAAAGTATACTGAATAAGAAATACAGCAGATATAAACTGATCGGTTTAAAGCTCAGAACTCTTCTGCCAAAAGTTGCATGGAACTCATTGAAAAAAGTTGGAAGGAACTGATTGAAAATTTAATAAACTTGTGTACGTGTAATTTTTCTTCTTTTTTGTGACTTTTTGGGGGCTCATCTTACAGCACTGCGCAAGATATATATGTTACCACTGATGCTGCCAAAGTCCTTCAATCCCTTCTGTGACAAAATTTGAGTTTTTACTCATGGCATATGCCTTGCAGACAAGATTTAACCAATTGTACCATACATTTTTGTGTATTTACGTGATTTATGACTTGAACTAGACCACCTCATGTTATCACCAACTTATATATATATATATATATATATATATAGATGTTAGGTTCTCATCTGAACAAGGGAATTAATTGTTTGGAAGCCAGTTGTACAACTTTAAGTGTATCTTTATTTTATGTACCACAATTAAAGATGTTAAAAGTCTCCCCGTCTAACTTCTTGAAACTTATATATCCATTAGGATCGCATTCATATGGTTACACTATCTATATTATATATTCTCATTCGAGCACAAGAGAGAGCTTGTATGTAACCGATTGTATATTTAGCATATGTATCTCTCTCATTATGTAATATATATATATATAACTTAAGGTGGCTAAAAATCTCAACTTGTTGATACTTATTTACCTACTTGAACCACAAATCACGTTATTTTATCTAGTTAGTAGTTATATAGGTCTCATTCACGAATGAAAAAGTTTGTATTGTAACCGACTGTATATCTAACGTATGTATATCTCTTTCATTATGTAATATAACCGAAGGAGCTAAAAGCCTCCGAATTTAACTTCTTGTTGAAACTCATTTACATACTATGGTCACGTTCACATAGTTTTACTGTCTATGGTATCTTGGTACCATGTACTTTTTCTCTCCAATTAGATCTGCATGCAAGGAAGGATCCAGCTCGTACGCAGTTAAGATGAACAGAAAATTACGATTATTTTCTCCTATCCAACCTGTACACAACAAGCTGGTAATCATATCTGTTGACTAAGCTGAAAAAAGGTTGAAGAAAATGTGATAAGTTGTGCTTACTTTTCTGTAAAAAGGAACAATAAACCCTAATTGCTTTCAATCTTTTCCCACAAAACAGGCTTTTAATCTTTTGACCATTGAACTCGTTACTCATTTTCTAACAAAAATAAAAATAGAAACCAGTAACTGTCAGTTGGTTTAAATTTTTTTTGTTACGTAAGTTGTTTACTTCTTACATGTAATCAAAGATATATTATAATTACATGTACCATGTTCTTCTCTTTGATATCTCTTCCTTTTCACGTTCTGTTGCTATTGTTTGCTTAGCGCTCATATTTCTAAGTTTATAAATGCTCGTAAAAATAAGAGTTCGACTATTACTATGCTCTAGGAATTTTATTTTATTTTATTTTTTTATCTTGACTTAACCTTCCCGCTTTTCCGGCACAAATCCCTCATTGCACCTTTTATCATATGAACCCTAATTGGTCAAGATTGCAATCGAGCTCAAACGTGTGGAATGCCATGATGCCAACCACTTACCACTGCAAGTGCAAACGTACGTGTGGAATGATTTGTCATACAATTTTATTTTAATTATTAAGCGTCCACATTGCATACCACGACATGGAATAGCTTTTACATCCAAAAATTCTCTTTGGATTACAGCAAGAAGTGTGATTACAAAAGCTAAAGAAATTTTCATCTCGTATAAGTGCTTTTGCAAAAAAGAAATAGCGGACCAAGTGCTTACTAATTATGAGCCATTAAATCCTAAAATATAAGCCAAACTAAAGTCTTGATATCCAAGAATCTCTCCCATCCTTTTTTGAATAATGGGGAGGAATATTTGTTTGCCTATGTGGAAAGCTCAAGTAAGAAAATAGTGTATTTTTGCTCACCAACCTCAATGGCAGAATATTTATTATTTTATTTATTATCATTAAATGATTTTAAATTTTGAGATTTGTATGCATCTAATACATAGATATTGAAATTTAATTCCCTCAACAGTGATAAATAAGGGGTTGGACATCATTATTACTTGAGGTCAGTGAACAAAAATATTCCCATAAAAAAAAAAAAAAAAAAGGAGTTGTAATCATGGTGTTACGTAGATTGAGGAACATGGATTAGATAGTTGAGTCAGAGCAAAGGACTTTAAACTCTTTTTTTTGCATTATTGGAGAACATTGAGCTGGTTTTGTACTTACGAGTTAGGAGGACCTTTTTCAAGTTTGAAAACCTGATTCAACCATGGAAGGGCCACTTCTAACGTTGCATGCATCATTTCATAATTTCATTGCATATACTCATAAGCACCCCTTAGGCTTTCAAAATGACAAAAAAGAGTCAGATGTGTGCATTGAAAGTTATATTTATGCGAGTTCAGATGATATTCAAATTCCCTACCCAAAGTGGCTCATTATCCAAGTGTTCAGATTGTTGTACTTGTACCCAATTTTTTTTTTTTTTTTTTGTAACTTCCGTCCACGTTGCAAGATCTTCATAATTACCATATGAGCCAAAAGGTTTGGTTTGAAAAAACGCTTCTAACACTGGTTACAGACAGAAAAGTGGAACCCAAGGCCCACAATTGTCTTTTTGATTAATCCAGAATTTCCTCCACTAATTACTTACCCTAAACATAATCAACTTTATCTTTTTCCCTCCCTAAACATAACTAATTTCTTCCCATTTTTCCTAGTTCATGCAAACAACTTCTAAGACATTTCAGCAGAACACATCAGAGCTTTCTAGGTCTCATTCCAGGCAGCAAAGAGAGGCAACTGAGACATGGAGACAGCTGGCGGCCTCAGCTGTGCTGATGGGAACCAGGAGCCAACAGCTGCAGCGGCAGTTGGACTGATAAACTTTGATGCCAATGGAGGTTTTGCAAACAGCATGTTGGAGCCAGATTTATCAGGGCTTCCTTCTCTGGAGCTGCCCAAACTTGTAACCAACGACGATGGATTCGAAAAGTGAGCTCCAACCCTAGCTGATTCATCCATCAGTGTCTGATTTGAGTGCACTGATTCAACTCCAATATAATCCTCCAATGCCATTGAGAAGGAAGGGTTTCTATAGCTCCCTGAGCCGATTGATTTCTGATCAACTGTTTGAGCACAACTGTTTGCTTGTTGCTGTGCAGCAGATTGGTACAATGCCATCTTCCAGTCTAGGCTATTCCCATTGTTGATTTCGGTTTGATTGGCTTCAACATTGTTCTGTGTTGGTGGGTTATGCTCAATGGCCAGGATGTTAGGTTCGATCACCTTGGTGCGCCTAGCAAACTCTCCGGCAAGTAGGGTATTGCTGGACATGATTTTTTCGACATCATACTTGGTAATGTCAAAGTTGGTGACCGCATTTGCGCCACGGAACTTGATTGCTGCTATGTCATAAGCTTCTGCAGCTTCCTCTTGGGTGCCTGAAATTCACTTCAAATTTAGAAATTTGGACAAAACCGCATTAATTAGCTTTGCAAGATCAAAACTTAACAGTAAAATAAAGCCTTTTAATACGTGATTCTAGCTGGGATGTCCCTTTCGAACACAGCCTTAAAAAAGTTCATTGTTACATTTCATCAGCCTTATAAAAAGTGTGAGACTGAGTTGCCATATAAATAAGTCCTTCGAAAAAGTGCTTAAGCAAAGAGCCTCATGCAATTTAGAAAACGAACGAATATTACCAAAAGGAAAAATTCAAACAATGCATGAATTTTACCAAAAGTTCCAAGATAAAGATCCTTGTTTCCAGCAACCCTGCCAATCCTAGCTTGCCATCGCCCATGCTGGTGATGTCTGCAGAAAACAAAACCAAAATTAGCACAAAGTTCAATTATTTTAACCTTCAAATTCAGTGTGTTTAATGCAAAGGAAAAACTGAAAAAAAAAACCTTGTCACGCCTCGGTACATTGAAGCCCCTCTCGAAAATCCACTGCTTTTCCTGAAAATCAAAGGAACACATGAATACACATCTAAAAATCTAGAAACATTAGAAATTACATTCTGTGAATAACAAACCAAAATTGCTACCTTCTCAGATGCGCAACATATTCCTGCCGGCTCATATTCTTCATCTCTTCAAGTTGTGCAGTGTAATTGTCCAACTGAAAAAAGACCAAGAGAATGAAACTTCAGCTACTATAAAGCTTTCACAATCTGATAAAACTCCGAGAGTCAGAACCCTACCGGAAAGTTTATATGAGTTGCAGAACCCCAGTACTTAAGAGCAGCAAGATCATATGCTCTAGCAGCTTTCTCCTCCATATCATAACCTCCTGCAGTTCAAATGAACAAATGATTATTTGAAATCAACAACAAATTACTGATAATTAAAACTAAAATTCAAAATTATTGTTGTAGAGAAAAGACATACCAAGATAAACTGCATTATTTGATTTGAATGGTATCCAACAGCAGCATAAACATGACAAGTAAAGAATTAATAGAAGAAGTCAAATTTCAGTCGCAGATAGGGGCCAAAAAAAATTTCGGTTAAAAAAGAAATAATTCCAAACAAATAGTAAGAATGGTGTTTTGTTTTTATTGACCAACCTTGCCTTCCTTTTCTGGTTTGCCCTTCCTTCTTACAGCTGTTGTCCCACAGATGTGCCTCGTATCTTCCAGTCCATCTATGCCTAAGGGAAGCAAAAATTAAAAAAAAAAGGTTACTTGAAGAACAATCTGAGAAAAAAGAAAAGAAAAAGGGTAACGATTTTCGCACTCCGGTTTTCCCCTTACACACTACTTCCATAGTTTTCGTCCTCGATTCTCCTTGGATTTACCGTATTCAAAGACTAGGAAATAAGGAAGGTGTGTGGCGGGAAAAAATGGGAATGTAAAAATCACTTCTCGATGACCCCCTCACAACAATGTCATGAAAATTGGAAACAATTTCTAGTAAAATAACAAAAATGACGAGATGGTTTTGAGATGAACCTTGTGACACCTCTAAACTGTGAGGTTCTCTGCCCAAATGTGTCAATGGACTTCCTGTGAACAGGCTGCTTCTGGCCAAGCTTTCCGCAGCCCCTCTTCTTTGTTTCAATGGCTGCCACTGCACATTCTGTCTGAGTGGGAGAGATCTGCTTTGGAGCCGTCACACAGCTTGTCTGTGATCCAGGGCTCATGGACAGTGTCAGCGACTGCAAATCGCCACGGTTCATGCCTCCATGAACGGACCCAGAACCGCCATTCTCAACAACCATGGTTACATTGTTCATGTGGTGGTGCTCCAGAGCTGGGTGTGCAGAGTACTGCCTGGAAACCCAGCAGGTTTTCAAGTCCTCTGGCATTTGAGTCATTTGGGTATTCTTAGAATGTTCTTCCTCCAACTGGTTATGGTAGATTCCTTGGATTGGGATTCCAGAGTAGTAGGAATTGGAATGGACAGGAATGTGATGATTCTGCTGCTGCTGCTGCTCTGCCGCTGCATTGTAGTAGCTGTCTAAGCTCAGAGCCATGGCTTCTCTCTCCTCACTCACATAATCATGAGCTGCTCCTCCTAGAAAGTCCTCCAGTTTTGGGGATGTGTTGGGCATTATTCCTTCACATTAACCAACAGCAGAAAACAAATATCAAAACTTCATACAGACTTAACCATTTTGTCTAGAGAGAGAGGGAGAGAACGAAATGTAATTTCGGTTTTAGAGAGAAGAAAAGGACCTTCTGTTTGTGACCTTCCGAGAGCTTCCATGATGCAGAGAGAGCCATCTGATTTGAGAGGCATTACAGAGAGAGGAGAGTAGTGAAAATTACCATTATCTCCAACTCCATAGCAGCCGAGCCCAGAGCTGCTGAGGTTGTAGAAGCTGCTGTTGTTGCTTGGGAGGGCAGCTGAGCAGGAAGAAGAAGAAGCATCCTCCATTTTCATGTGGGGTAAGAGTGAAAAACCAAACCAGTTGTTATTGTTACTGTTACTGCTACCATTGTTGTTATTGTTATGATCATTCATGGACTTCATCTTCCTCTTTCTTTCTTTCTCTCTCTTCCTTTTTTTTTGGGGTTTTGGATTTCAACTTCTTGCTTCTAAAATCTACTCAATCATTGACAGCAAATAATCTAATCATGTCAAAAATCTCCTTCCCTCCCCATAAGAAAAAGAAAAAACTTGGTTTTTTGTTCTCTAGCTCGTAGCTTCTGAACTTCCACCAAGAAAAACTAACTTCGAAACTCTCCCTTCTATGCACTCACATATATAATAAGATCCTCTCTCTCTCTCTCTCTCTCTCTCTCTCTCTCTAAAGACAGAAGAACCTGTGGTCTCTTGAAACTAAACAAAGAGAATATAAATATATTTAAAGCTTCGGCAAGCAAAGCAAAATGCTGGAGGGCATCCGCAGCATATATCCCATAGGGATCTGTGTATGTGAGAAAGACCACGACTTTTCTTTTCCTCTTAAACCCTACCAAAAGCCCAGATCCGATATTATCATAAAACCCTCTTACTTTTCCTCATTAATTACCCAAATAAACCCAGAAAAACTACACTAAATAAAACCCAGAAATTATTATTCTCAATTTTTTTTTTAATAATCTCTCTCACTGTTCATTGACATTAGTCAGTAGTCAGCTGAATCTAGTGGGTGTGTGGTAGCCAATGGTGAGGAGAGAGGGAGAGAGGGAGGGACGTTGTCAGATATCCAAAACTAGTTTGCTTTATTTCTACAGTCACAGGGCCTTAAGATAGATTTGACGATCAGGGCCTGCCCATCCAGTCACTTCATACAGTACAGCCTTTGTGCCCCTCTGCAGGCTCAAAGGATCTACAAATTTATATTCTAATTAATGATTTTCAATTCCTTTTCAACTTTTTTATTTTCAAAAAGAACACATTGCTCTCTGACTAATTAAATTGAATTCAAGCATGCAAAACTCGAAACAAGAAGCTGAAAAACTTTGCCATTAGGTTCGACCGACTTTGATGACGACTTTGATGCATTATTATAATTGACGGTTTATCTTGCTAAACATCTGATTCTATTTTTCGGTATAAACGATATTATTATTTTAATTTGCATTAAAAAAGAGAAGGTTTGAATTCCGAATTCAATGTGTTAAAAGAAAATCATAGACACCAAAATAATTAACTGCTTGCAAATGTCCGACGAACATGTTTGTAAAAAAATGTTATTAATCCACCAATCAGTTTGGTACACGACTTCAGAAATAAATTATAATATCTGTAGTGGTAGTGTATTGAAATGGGAAAGAAAAATGGAGTTAAATTACAATATCTGGAGTGGTAGTGAATTGAAATGGGAAAGAAAAATGGTAACGTAAAAGAATAGAATAACTAAAGGAAGACATAACAAATTTTTTCTTATGGTGGTTTGATAAGGATTGGAGTGAATGAGGTGTGACATATGGAAATGTCTTTACCTTTTCAGGTTGGGAAATGTGGACTCTTAAAAGTGAGATTTTTCATGCATTTTCTGCTATTTTACTGTTTAACGTCAAATTTTAAGACAACATTATAAAATATTATGCCTAAAATATAAGTTCTCAAAAAGTAGAATCTATTTTTAAGAGAGTCACATTAACATTTATCTTTCTGGTCACAAGTTTGATATAATAATTACGAATTGGAATCCAAGTTAGATTTCTTTTGTTTTATTGGTTTGGTTTGGCATAATGCTCCTATGATTGGAAACAAATAGGTGATAATTGCTGCAGCGGCCTCTTGACGTTTTCTGGAAAATTACAAAATTTATAAATTTTAAGGGCATTGAGATTGAGTTTTACGAAACACTTTATATTACAACAAGATATTAATTTTTGCCGTATAATAATTAAGAAATAACAGTTAATAATTATGCATTATAAGATATTCCTTTGTGAAGCGAGTGAGAGTAATAAAACTTGGTTGGAATTTAATTAATTGTTTGTTTAAGGAAGCCACATCATAATTTTAAGGCTAAACTTGCAAAATCAAGTACTTAGATATCAGAGGGGAACTTTGCTGAAATAGGTAGCAGTCCAAAGCAGGTGAACATACAGAGCATCTCCCTTTCACAACTTTAAATTCAAATTGCACCAAAGAACAAGTGAATTTCCTTTTTAGTAAAACAATAAGTGAATATTATTTTGTAAGGAATGTATGCTAAAGTATAGGAAATTTATAATATAATATTTTGATTTGAGTATTCAAAATTTGGGGAATAAATTTAGGGTTTCAATATAATTTGAGTAAGAAGAATGACTAAGAATCAATTGCTCATATCGTACTGATAAATATAAAATTTTATACAATAAAACTCAGTACATTTAGCTGTGTAATTAATCATTGTATGTTGTTCAACATGTAAAATGACTTGAGATACAATGACCATCCGATCTACAGGGACACACACCTAAAGTTAAATCCGTTGATTAGTATTCAACCGAATTAATTAATTCTGTGGCCAATTGCTTTTAAGTAATAAGGCACATAGAGTGTTTAGTCAACACCTGCTTCCAGACAAAAAGTGGGGCGTGGGTCTTATGATATGCACGAAATATTCCAGAAATTATGAGCAAAGGCCCCCCCTCCCCCTCTCCTAACAAGAGCCTTTTTTGCAAAAGCGATTTCCTATCATCTTTTTGGTTTGATGTTAATCTGATCAGACACATCCAAACCTACCATTAACTAAATGGAACATTAAAGATTTCCAATTTAATTTAAGTTGGTTTGATTAACTAGTTAATTACTATAAGAAATCATAATTTAGTTTCCCCCCATCTTATTTTTTCTTACCTTTATTTTTTTCGCTGAAAATGGCAGGAAGTTGTCTAAATTGCTTTTTCAGTGTTTGCCCTTTTGTTATTTATAGGGTTTCTTTTTCGAGTGGGATCAGTGGCTGCATGGGTTGTTTTTGCATGAAAGTTTTTCATGGCGACAGATTTTCAAATGTGAATGATTTTGGTTTGAACCTTGGAAGATTGACTGAATTTGGGAGGGAAGTGGTGAATATACCACAAAAAGTTTTCATAAGGCTTTTTATTTTTATTTTTTTAACAAACGGCTGAATAATTATACAAAATGTGAAAAATCATGTGTGCCCTTATAATCTAATTTTTTTATGCGTTCTGATTTTAACAAAACAATATTTTAAACTCGTCTAATTTACAAGTATAAAATTTATATTTAGGTGCAAGAGATGTGAATACTACGTTAATCAACTAGTCTAACACCACATCAACTTGACCATACTTTTAAGTGAAGCAAGTGTAATGGGATTGATGTGGGTACGTAGTGCAGCTTTTGATTTCTAACTCTCAACGTTATCAGGTTAAATCATTTCTTTAACTAAGAGTAGTGGTGGCCCTGCCAACTGCATCAAAATGGACACGCATTGAACATGAAAAACAAAGTTTAATTAATTAATGTTTAATTATACTACTAATAGATGGATTACAGGAAAAAAAGCGGGAAAAGTGGGATGCCAGACGCACAAAAGGGACAACATTTGTCTTAGATAGTAACTTGTATTTTTGTAGTATTCAATTAGTCAGAGGTGTGGACCTTGGGAGGACAGCAAGAACCATAGAATTACAAAGTCAAACAGTAGAAAACAATTAAAATGCCAGTAATCACAAGCCAAAATTATTAAATTAACAAGGAAAACTCACATTAATCAATCACTAATTACATCGTCACTTAAAAGAGAAATAAATTAATTTCTCCACTGTCATGAGAAGACTTGCATAGACTAATTGTACTATTTCTATACAACATCCGTCTCACATACATAGTTAAACATGCGCTTCTAACGCAATAATATAAATGTTTGACGCATATTGCATAAACATGTGATATACAATGTCAGCATTTCATGTACATTGTTAGCGTCTCACACGTCCAATGTGAACTGCAAGCTTCGTGCAAGTTTTTCATCCCCTAGCCATTTGAAAGTAGTAAAAGATGAAATGTGAATATTTTTAACGACATAAATTTCGAAATTAGTTGATTCATCAAGTCATCTGCTTCGAATCTTCGTAATCACCAATAGTATTTGTGGTACAGAAGTCAACAGAAATTTGCAGAATCGAAGGATGAAGGTGCAGGTGTGCTTCACAAAATCACAGTGTTCCATTAATTTCTTTGGCATAAGCCGCATAACAGTGCCTCCTCTACAAGAAACCTAAACCCTAAAGATTACCTGCTGCCATTTTTCAGCTACCTCTGCTGCTAATATACGGTTTCTATTGCATAGGAGAGTACTATACCCATTCTTTTTAATTTGGGTACATTCATGTTTCTATTAAATTTCAAGTTTACCCTAACTTATGATGAATTGACTAATATAACCTCCACTTCACTGGGCATGGTCCAACCTCAAATAATGGTATGGTAGGTTTCAAAAAATTATAATTTAGTCATTGGTTAGTGATGAATTTTGGACAAATCAGATAATTTTTTAGTTTTTAAACCTTTAATCTTCTTTATTGGAGATAACCTTAAACCTTAAGAAGTGAGAAGATGTTGTCGTTGAGTTTATCCACTTGTAGATGCGTGCTCTTATTATCAACCCACATTTGAACAATATCGATGGATTCTTCATAATATACGTATCAATGATTATATTTATATGAACTTTTAGTGGTTAACGTATTGTGTTCGAAATTTTCACAGTTGCCTCTTTTGAAGAGGTTTGAAATGTTGGAAAAATAGTGTGTGTATGTACATGCAGTGACAGGGGAAAATAAATGAGGGGAGGGAGTAATGAGAATCACGTGAGGAACAGAATATCTAAAGAAAATCTAAGGAAAGATCAACACATAAGCCAAAGCGACTGTGAGCAGAAAGAAAGAAAGTGGATTATGAGATCACTGGATGGATGATGCCTACTCAACTCCACTGAGAGAAGGACATTTGTAGATCTACAGCTCTCCATCTAGCTACGTCTATTGGGTCTGCAGCTGCAGCTGCAGCTGCTGCTACTGTGCCACTCGCTCTCTTGCTGTTTTCCTATGTGCAAAGCGTGTCCACACCCCACCCCCCTCTCTCCCCCCTTCATTTGCATGCAAGGCCCAAGTCTTACCAAATTTACCAGTTTCTCTATCCGTCACTGCCCTTTCTCTCTCTCAGAGGTGACATGTCAAAGTCCAAGCCTATCTGTCACGTCACTATCACCTTAGATTCTCTCTCTCTCATTCCCTAGTGACCTAGCTACTTTCATTCACTTCTAATTAGGAGATAGACGACTGGAAACATGATCATTAATCCAAGTACCTGAATTATAATGAAAATATAGTAAGATAGTTGTGAATGCACCGTGAGTTGATCTTGATCGTTTTGGCTTTATAATTTCTCTGTGCATAATTGGTTAGAACCGTTTCGCATGCATGCACAATTCTAAGACGTGCTCCTCTAATTACGAATAAATGGAGTATTACCAACTTAAGAAATCAATGGAATGTACCATATTACGAATAATTGGTTGGAGAAATTCAAAGCATATGAAGATCTTCTTACTTGGGTAGGTAGGTTAATTTAATTATAATTCGTTCAGTTTGGAAGGCCTTTATCATATCGTCACCAATCTCTGAGATTGGGAAGTGGCTTTAATGTTTAATGCTGGTGCAAACAGCCAGCTTTTTCAGATGGTATTCATTTGGGGTTTCCATTTTGCTTGTTAAATGGATGAAGAGGGTGAAAGGATGTTGCTTTTATATAGAAATATGGGGCATTGGGTCCAAACATGTTCTGATCCATGACAGGAATGTGGTGAAAAAGAAGGATCCTGAGCATAAGGATTAATTGATCAATTGATTCGGACCGTTGAAATTTGATTCAACTGCTACAATTATTATAACTTTTAGTGAGAATTTCTATTTGTAGCCGTTAGATCAAATTTCAACGGACCGGATTAATTGATCCCTAGACTCAGGATCTTTAGATCTGGAGAGGATATGGATCCGAAAAAGAAAGCCACCCCCACACCACATACTTATATTAATATTCAAAGCTCAATTGTTCACGTGAATCCTTCTATTAAATATAAAAATTCTATTGTGCTTCAGAGTACTTAGATAGTAAAAACAGTTCTAATTAGACAACTTATATTTTAGTATTATGGAGCGCAAGTTGGCCAAACTCAATGTGAAAGGGGCTCCAGTGAAGTAGTCCTAATCAAGTATCAACTTTTACCACCAAAAGAATAGGCATGACTTGATCGAATGTTGGTCTAATTTGGTGTGAAAAACTACTCTAATTAAATGGATCTTTGCAAGTTCTAAGTGTTACAGCAAAAAAAGAAAAATATAAGACAATCTGTACTTTAGCCTTACTCCGAAAACTACCTAAATAAGACGGATCCACACAAGTTTTAACTTTTACCAACAAAATTAAAACTGGTAGGATAAGATCCCATCGTCAAAGTAATAAGATGCCCGTTATCCCAATGAGAATCTAACTTAATCATGAATTCATGATCACAGGATCAATCAAAGGTCAAAATTAGTCAACCGTGACTGCATCAACCCTGTCCAAGAAATTATTTGAACCCGATGGGTTGTTAGATGAAAGATAAGAAAGGAAAGATAAAAGAAGTGGCTCTTTAGGCATATTCTGGCAGATGGGACACTTTAGGCAGCCAATGGCGACGGCTACCTCCACAGGCTGCTTCTGCGTCTCAGTCTCAGTCTGCACACTTATGCCATCCCTACTCCTATTATTATTTTATATTTTGATTTATTTTTTTTTATTATTATTAAATCCTAGAAGTAATAAATATAAAAAAGAAATTGTAAATAGCAAAAATATTCCGTTGCCGGGACTTGAACCCGGGTCTCTCGGGTGAGAGCCGAGTATCCTGACCAACTAGACTACAACGGATTTGGTTGCTCTTCTTGTGGTTTCAATTCTAATAACATTAAGTAGACATTTTTTTTAGCATGGGCCATAACGACAACCCAATGGGATTTTTCTATAAGCTGTCGGGCAAAAGTTATGCATAAGCCTGGCCCGGTTATTTGTAATGGATGGCTTCCAATTGCAACTTCAGTCAATTCTTTGTTACCTTTACCTCCCTTTATTTTTGGCTGATACAAGCGACGGCGGGAAAGAAAAATCGAAACCTAGGATTTCAGGTACAAAAATACGGTGAAACCTCAACTTTCTTTCATGTACTCATTTTTTTTTCGAATCCATTCTGCCTTCCTAAAAAGTAAACATGCCCTAAGATATGACATTGATGAAAGATATAGGGGGTTGAAGTCTAGGACTTTGGTTCCAATTGAGAAATGGAAGCAGCTTCATGGCTAGAAGTTTTATCTTGATTTTTCTTAATTGATGGGCATTTTTATGCAAACATGCAACCAACCAAAAGATCCTTTCTAAAAGATTCAAATAGAATACAACGAATCGGCATGAATACATCTGTGGATAAGGCGGTATAAGAACACCGGCCAGTGCAGGAAAAGCCGTTGCTTATGAGTCGATCTATTCTCTTAATCTTTACATTTGTGCTTCTGCTTCACAGTTGCACACCGAAGGTTACACGAGTGATACCAAAACGTCAAAATCCATACAGCGAAAGTGCATAATCTGGATAATTGTCGACCATTGGATGAGAATAGCTGATGTCGGGATTGGTATTCACCTATGATACAGGCAGATCGAATTAACTATCATTGTCACCACCTTCGTACTAATGACGTGAGCAACTGCAACAAATCATGAACAGTTCAACGTTAGAAACAGTACGTCAAAAGAAATTTGAAGAAGTGCTCAAAAGGAAAGAGATTGTCTCCATTGAGTATAAAGTATATTATAAGTATAATCAGAGCATAGGATTTGAATAACTGGCGATATACTCCCTCGATTTACAATACTAACCAAGTGCTAACGAGAAGATCACAAGGCAAAATGTTTAGTTTTATCCTTTCAAATTACGTATGGCGCTCTACATGGTTCAAATTCATGCACATTACGCAATAATTTCGACACTGAACAGTTTTCTGAAACGAGGAATGGTTCTAGTCCCAAACATGGGAAACAAAATCATCGAGGAAAGTTGGATTTGTCGAGGCAAAGTACTAGAGTCAAGTGATTAGATATTTCAAGACTGTTAAAACAGAAAATGTTAGTGTACCTCAAACAATTCAAATGGGCTACCGCGGCGATATACATCACTCTTCTTGCTCTTATCGCCGGGAAGAAACTTATACAGAAGTGCTCTCCATCCAACAAGTAAAACACCAGTGCTCCCCATTGTTACAAGTACGAATTTGATTGGTGCAATGTGGCCAGCTGTTGATGCCCTTATGATTATCCCAAGCTGCCAAAAAAGTAAAATGGAAGATGGATCTTCGTTCGCCATTGCGTGATTTAGCAACACTAATACTCTAATGCAAAATTATTTAAGATTAACAAGTTATGCAATCAGTACAGAAGCCACAACAAGAAGTAATGCAATCTAACGAGACGCAATAAAAAATAACAATGCCGGATAGAAAAGAGTGGCAAAGTAGAGCGGAAAATCATAAATGGAACTCTAGAAATAACAAAGTTAATCCTCTTAGCAATCATAGCGAAATTATGAAATCCAAATCGAAATCAAGCTTATGAACATACTGGAATTCCCAAGGCCCATGACTTAGCCGTAGCGGTAAGTGCCTTCGATTGTCCATTGACTCCACGTCCATCCTTACCAAAGCCTCCGAGAAAATATGCACTCAAAAACCATCCTGTTCAACCACATTCAGCTTTTCGTTTAAAACGAAAAAACAAAGGCCATGCTTCCTTTCAATTCAAGTTCAAAACAAGTAGGCAAAGAATAACGAACATACCAGCAACGAAAGGGTCAGCCGTGCGAAGTGTTTCGAATTCGAAAACGGGGAATCCATGGCTGAATCTTCCAATTGCAGCAAACGTAAGCAATGCCAAAACATCCCCTCCAGCAAGTAATGCCACATGACTGAAACACACAAACAATCCCCCACAAGCTGAAATCAATCAATGAACAAAAAAAAGTCTACCAAAATTTACCAAAAATTTACCCCCATTTGCGTAAACGAGCAGAAGAATCGGGCTTCTCGAACTGAATCACGCCTTCTAGAGGAATGTTCTCCTGACCCACGAAAACTGGTTGGTTATCGACCGAAGGCGGAGGAGGAGGAGGAGCTGATGAGGCGGAGAAGCCCTGTTTGTCAGCGGAGGAAGCCGAATCGACGCCTCCGTCGGCCTTTGCGAGCGTGATATTGAGAGATTTTGAAGGGTTTACACTGGAGAAGAATCTGCTGGGTCTGTGGGAAGAGAAGAGGGGAGGGTTTGGGTTTGAGAATTTTGGCGGGGATGTCAGATAACACCGCCGAGTTGATAAGGCTCCGCTGGGCGCTTGGCCGAGCACCAGCATTTTCATGCCTTCAGTTCTGCGGATTGCTCAGCTGGCCACACTTGCAACACCACACTTTTTCTGGTTTGCATATCACTTCCTCTGTTTTGTAAAGAATTTTGGGGTTTATATGTTTAGGGTTTTTTTATAAATATTTTTAAGGAAACTAATAAAAAAGATTTGAAATCTTTAAGTTTTAACGATAAAGATAAAATAAAGGGTAAAGTGAATACTACCAAGATTAACATTTTAATGTAAAAATATTATTTTTCGTTAAAGTTCTCATATTTTTATGATTTATGTAACTTTAAACCATGTTTTTTTTTTTTTTTTTTGAGTTTTAGACCTGTGTCACATCAGCATTAAATATAATTTTATTCAAATTGAGCAAAGGTCAATGAGGGCGGGATAAATTTGAAAGGCATCATTGGTTGATTTGAAATAAGAGAGCCAAAAGTGTACAATTTGTGATAAAAAGCTCTTCATTTTTACTTTACAATTTTATTGGATTTCAGTAGCTTCTATATTTAAAAGAAAATTACGGGCGCGACCATATTGTGCAATGATGTTCAGCAAATGGAAAATGGAAAAGTGGCGTGTAGCTTGAAGCAAGGGGCGTCGATTCAGAAAATGGAAAAACCGAAAAATCAAACACAAAATCCAGCAGCAAGGGGCGTGTAGCTTGAGCGGTTAAGAGTTTTTAACCTTGCACCAGATGTTTTTTGTTCGAATTCCCCATTCCCGAATATCCCATCAATGATTTGCCAATGGATTACAACAAAAGAGGTTAAAATCTATTCACATTTTTTTTTCCACTGGAAAACAATGCTTAGCATGTCAATGAATTTTACAAGTTAACCAAATCATGCAAATGCATGCTTCTGTTCCAAACCTAACTTTCTGAATTTCGAATGAAATTATATCAGGGACGACATAATCCTGTGTACATAAACAGTAAGTTTTATGTTACCATCAAGACCTTTTTGAGTTTTTTTTCTTGACAGCAGTACTGCTGGATCGAGAATCGACGTCCAGCTTCTTCACTTCAACCTGAGATGGCTTCACATTAACTGGTGGAAGTCCACTGCCGAACACAACCTGATTTGGTTTGCCACCGGTGAAAACAGCAGGCCCAAGGATCCCATTGTAGCTGCCTGCCGCCAAGCCTCCACCACTCATGTAGCCAGGATATAAGGCGTTTCCATAAGGAAACACCCATGGCTGAGGTGCAATTGGAGCAATGCCATAAGGTGTCCCACGAGCTGCGACTGAAGGGTACCAACCACCACCATAAACACTGGTTCCATACGCAAATGGCCCAAGACCATTATAAGGTGTTGGAAAAGGAAGTACCCCATATGTAGGAGCAGGGCTACAAGTATAAGGAAGGTAGATTCTGGGGAATCTGGGCGCATAATCAGTATAACCGCTTTCGTTATTGCCATTCTCCTCCTTTGGCACAGCTCTCTTGACCTCCACAGACCTACCATTCAACTCATGAAAGCTTTCCTGCATCACATTCTCAACAGAATCCTCCGAATCAAAGGTGATAAAACCAAAGCCCCGGGGCCTGCGGGTTTTGTAGTCATGCATCACAACCACATCTGATACACTCCCAAACTTCTCAAAATAATTTTTAAATCCGTCCTCTGTCAAACCTGCTGATAAACCGCCAACGAAGATTTTCTTTGTTCTAAACTGAGTTCATTCTCCACACTCCTACTCAACATTCTACTTTGATGTTGGTTTCGGGGTCTGGGAATTGCTTTTTTAACCTCTACCTATAAACAAAATCGAAGACCAATTACGCAACCTGTAAACCTAAATCTCTCATTTGGTTTTGCTTCAAAATACAGTAGAGAGCACAAGGGATATATACATTAAAGTTCACATTTTTATGCAAAACATGTAAACTTTTCGAATTTCGGTTATCTAACTTATGCAAGTAACTTAGGGGCAAAAAATTGAACTCTAGCATTTTCTCACTCGATGGTTTTTCCCTTAATTTTCCATTCGGCTACGGATTTTCGCAGCAACCAAACACACAACAAGACGGTATGTAAACAGAGAGGAAGAAGAGTAAAATTACCGTTCTGCCCAGAATGACGTGCGGGTCTTCAAGGGCTTTGTCTGCTGAAGAAATGTCCGAGAACCAGACGAAGCCAAACCCTCTAGGGTTGTGGTTGCTGCGGTCCCTGGCAATGGCGGAGCCCAAAACGGTGCCGTAGCTCCTGAAGTGAGCTCTCAGCGTCTCTTCGTTCGTCTCCCGAGAGATTCCCCCGACGAAAAGCTTAGCTTGATCGGAGTCCATGGGAGAATTGATTCCCCAAAACCCTAGCTGCAGGAAAACCCTAAAACCCCAAATTACAGCAAAATCCCTAGAATTTGGAAGAGAGAGAGAGAGAGAGAGAGAGAGAGAGAGAGAGAGAGCTAAAAGCATAAAACCCAAATAAAAAATAAATAAATTAAAATTAAAATTAATTATTACCCAGCTCAAAAATTCAAAAGCTGAGCTCACTCACCGAGTTGCGTCCCTGAAACTGTTGAAAAATGGAAAGTAATTTCTGAGCAGAAGAACCAAAGTCAGCGAGTCAATTTTTGGTCAATGTTCGTTTATATATCAAAGTTGGGTTTGGTCTCAATGCTTTTTTATGTAGGCTGTTCTTATTTTGGGCTTGTCAGGCCCAATGTACACAAAAGCAAATGAAAGAATGAAAACAAAATATTTCTTTATCATGATATTTCAATGTGCAGGAACTATGAGGCGGTACGACGTATGTTATTATACAAGTGAAGAGAAACTTTTTTTAAGTGTCCCTTCACTCGTAAAACGTATAACGTACATGCCCGTATGCCGAGCTCACTGAAAATTGTCTTCCATTATAGACCATGTGATTATACTAGCGTCTCTCCTCCTAGGGTTTTTTTTTTTTTTTTTTTTAAGTACATCTTCATCCGAGTTAACACAAAAGAAAACGAGAGAGAAATTTGACCATCTAGTTTCTTTCTAGGACAAAATATTTTCATTTTCACAAAATTCCATTCTATGATACTTAATTCATGAATAAAGTATCTTCCGTATTATTGAATATCTATTACATCACGTGAAAATAATAAATTAGAAAAAACAAAGTATAATGATCCAAATTCACGTTAATTAGGTAAGGTCAAATCTGTGATCGGACAAATAATAAACCAGTTGCAAAGGTTGGTTGGGTTGGTTGTATTTGTAATGCAGGAGGACTCAATCCCAATGACTCGTCACATGCAGGGTTTTGTAGCTCAATGCTTAAAGTGAGAGGCACCGAATTAATTAATTATAATTAATAGTAATATAATCCTTGAGTTCCTTGCGTGCGAATATTCGAAAATCGTGTCCAAGTTTTCATTTCAACTTGAAGGATATGTGAACATAAGAATCTACGTTAATCATTTTTCTAATCAATCCTTTATCTATTGTTTAATTATTTGCATGTGGCATAAGCTTTGATCGAGTCATGTCGTTACTTGAGACTTGGACTCGAGAGACTGCCTTAATAAATTAGTTATTGATGCGAATAGTTATTAGTCTACTTTTCGAGAGTCGGAAAGATTTATATAGGTTTTAGAGTTTCTTCCTGATTATTATTTTGTGATTTAGCATTGCAAGAGATATTGTATATGTTAATACGAACCTAAATTAAGTTAATATTAGGACGTGCCGTGTGAAAGACTTATATAAACATTAGGACATGCCGTGTGAAATACGAACCTAAATTAAGTTAATATTGATGTTTGAAACATGGAACAAGAGATATTGTATATGTTTCGAACAATTATGTTAATACTAATATTATAATGTAAATTGAGGATGCTTCTCTCTTACGTGACAAAACCAAACTTGACATGTTGTTTCCATGAATGCCCCAATTATCAATCAAATATTGAAAAAGGGAGAATGGTAGTAATTAGGCAAGGGGATTAGTTAAATTAATCAAAGAAAATGATGATGCGATGTGGAGCATCTTTGGTCTTTTGTGCTTTTAAGAATTAAACGAGTCTCGGAGTCTCATGCATTTGCATTGCTCATCTTTGTCATCTTCTCGTTGCCAGAAACATGACATATAATACCCAAATCTCGTTCTCCATAAAAGCTAGCTAGCATTTGTATACACATGCTTTTCATGGGGTTTTGGGCAAAAACCATGGTAGTGGAGGCCATGAGTGCAATCCAAATTCCAAGTAAATATATCTACCCAAATGCTCAAAATTATATGAAAACACAACTAACTTGTTGAAGTTTGATCCAAGGCTTCACACTCTCTCACTCTCAGACCAAGGTTCTATATATAGTTTAAGTTTATATATGGAAAATGGCACCACTAGGCAACGACTTGCTGATCTTGAGCCATGTAGTCTCAAGATCCTAGCGAACGAGAACGTGGCATGCATGTAAGCTTAGACTTTTGTGTTAAGATTGTTCTATTGTCATACCGTAAATCCAAACAGTTGAATAGTTTGTTTAACATATATCTAATGTTCAATGGTAACATGTTAACAACTGTGAATCACATACAACAGTTAGTATATTAATTAGTAGAAACATATTTTACTTATACGTATTTCTTCCATCTCGTTAATATGATACATAGTAAACATGTATCATGTATGATTATAAAAAATTTCGTATTTAAGATATGAGGAGCAACAAAATACCTTACGGTGATATTTGAAAACGAAGAAAGACAACCTTGAAAATGTAGAACCTTGTCACCAAATAAATAGTTCTTATTACCTACGAGGGAAATCTTGTCCAAAAAAAAAAAAAAAAAATGGCTACGAGGGAAAGATCGAAAGAGGGGGACAACTGGAGATGCACGGTGGGTGTGGCACGTCAAAGATTATGAAGATTTGTTTGTGTTGACCAAGAACAAGGTGATACGACATGCCTTTGGGGGATTACACACTCCCCTTTGGACTATGCAAGCCCTAGAAAAATTAGGGTTTTGTTTTTTATGCTCTCCCACAACGAAACCCGTTGGTTTATTATTGTTGTTTCCTCAAAACCCAATGAATATAGTAAAAGCTAGCGTTTCCCAATGCAAGACATTTGTGACCCACTATGTCTCGAACCAAAAACCCTAATAACAAACTAACCCTAATATTATATGCTTGTGAGGTTCCCCTTTGTACTCCTTCCCGATGCCATTGGTATTTCCATGTCTTGGAAACCTGGTAGTTTCTTCATTGAACTCAGAGCAAGAAGAAGTGATCGAAAGCAAAATACACATACAATCATGTCATTATTCAAATATTGCACAATTTTTTTTTTGTAGTAATGTAACACTGACTAATACGGAAAATACTTATAACCCTAAATGTTACAAAACAGTAAAATTAAAGGAATTGTTATTAACGATTCAAAAATCTCATTCTACACTCTAAACTTTCTATATTAAAAAAGAAAAATACACTTGTAAGCAGTGTATAATGAGATTTTTGGAGTGTCAATAACACTTCCCAAAACTAAATGCAAAATTTATATAATATACAAGTACATGTTCTTAAGCAAATATTTTTATACGTTACACACAAATAACAGTTATACATATGATGTAACATCCCACATCGCCCAGGGGAGTGATCCTTAAATGTATATTCTCATCCCTACCTAGCATGAGGCCTTTTGGGAGCTCACTGGCTTCGGGTTCCGTAGGAACTCCGAAGTTAAGCGAGTAGCGCACGAGAGCACTTCCAAGATGGGTGACAATATCGTACTACGGTGGTGGAGCGGGCCCGAAAAATGGTCCAGCCCCGGACCGGGATGTGACATATGACGCAAAAAGAAACGGTGGTGTTCTACTTCTTCACTCACTAAATATATAAAAGATTAACTTGGTTTAGTGAAACCATAAACGACCAAACTTAAAGTTTCAAGTGAAAACGTAAAAGAAAGAAGAAAAGTTTCACATGATCACCGTGAGCTCAACCAGGGACCCATGTGAATATACGATATGATCTTTTGGGACCCGAATAATTATGATATTTTGGTTTTAGTCTTTCAAAATTGAAAATAATAATGCAACCTAAAGTCTATTGTTCTTTTGTTCTTTCGTTGGAGTACAACTTGTCTTTTTAATCCAGTTAATTTGCATCACCGTTATTATATGGAGAGCGTACAATGATTGACAACTCAGGATGAGTAGGTATTTTTATTCAAAACTCTTCGTATTTAATTACAGAATTTTTTGTTTATAATCAAAACAGTTCGTACTATGAATTATTCTTTAAAAATCAATTTTTTGCAAAAAATGAATTAAAAAATAAAATTATCTAGTTAATTTATTGTAATAAATACATAGACAATTTCTAATGCATTTACTAATTCCGTTCATCTTTTTTATACAATTTGATTACTAAACGATCTTAATTTTAGTTGATTTTTAGTAAATATGATATATATTGAGTGATTTATAATATGAATGATTTTGATAAACACAAAGTTCAGTAAATTTGCAATGAACAATTTTGAGTATGAACATTTATCTTTTGAATGGGCGAGTATTATTCAAATGGTAATACTCAAATTTAAATGAGAACTTTAATATTTTTTTTCTCAAGTGCAATATGCAAATGTTAAAACCTAAGACACTTATTATTACAGTTTAGTAGTATTCCTCTTCATTTGTAAATAAAAGATCTTATGTTCTATTATCGCCAAAAGCAAATTGAACCACATTATTGCTAGTCATTGTGAGACTAAGCCTACATCCCTCTCTTAGTGTAGATAATATTGTTTATTAAGAAGAAAAAAAATGTTAAAACTCAAAATTAAGTTTAATTAGGGCATAAATTGCACCATTAGAATTTGACGATCCCCTTCATTTAGCTTTGCCCTATTGCAACGTGTATAGCCCTGTCAAATCAAATTATGTAGACAATCAGTTACTTAACATTAAAAAGTAAAAAATATTAACAAAAAAATTCGGAAAAGAAAAATTTACAAAAAGTCAAAAGATTAGTAGTACTACCGTAAGCACAGTGAGGTTCACAGCTGGATAGCAAATCTCCTCCACAAATATCAGAGGAAAGAGGGAAGGGATGAGTGAGTGGGCCCGTTTAGTGGCCCGTTTAAAAGATATACAAAATGGTGACGTAAAATGGGAAGGCATCTCAAGGTGCGGCCCAGCCCATGCATGTCGGCAAAGTGGAGGCGAATTTGGTCTTCAACCAAAAAAACAAAATAATACTAATTTTTGGTCCTTAAAGAAATAACTTTCTCTCTTGAAGCCATGCAAAAAATTATATTTAATTTATTTCTTGGGGAACAGTAATGGTAGAAGGATTTATGTGGAATGTTACACCAAAACTGCCGTGTTTCGGTTCAAAAATAAAAAGTTATTTTAGCCCAAATTATCTCCGAATATAACTCTTCATTTTTATTTTTGAGATTCAAAAATGAAAAGCCATTTTAGCCCAAATTATCTCCTCATATAACTCTTTATTTTTGTTTTTGAGGTTTAAAAATAAAAAGGTATTTTAGCCTAAATTATCTATGCATATAA